TACCCCTTTTTTACTATCCAAAGGCAAACTAAACATAGTAGATTTCAGACATCAGAAAAAGGAAGAACTCAGAAAAGAGAGGATCATCACATTTGGATAAAATATCAATCCATTAAGAGTAAATAGTAATCTTATTTGTGTATGAACCTAAACTGTTACTAGTTACAAAATACACAAAACAAAAACTGACCAGTCTAAATGAAAAAGAAACAAATATACAACTAGAGTTGAGAAATTTCAATATCTATCTCTATATAATGGGTAAAACAGGTATACAGGGAATCAGTAAAGATACAGGAGACATGAACAATCAACTTAATTGACATTCATAAAACAAAAACAGCAGAATATACATTACTGTCAAGTGCACGTGGGACATTTATCAAGATTGACTATATTCTGGGCTATAAAACAATAAATTTAAAAGGACTGAAATCATCAAAGTATGTTCTCTGAACACAATGGAATTAAATTAGAAATGAATAACAGAAAGACAGCTGGAAATCCCCAAGTATTTGCAAAATAAACATTACACTTCTAAGTAATCCATAAGTCAAAGAAAAACATCACAAGGGAAATGACAAAATATTCTGAACAGAATAAAAATGATCTTGGAAACTTGTATCTTGAAACACAAGAGCTAGAAAGCTTCCTAAAACTTAAGACTTTTCTGATAAGAATGGTGATGCTATTTACAAATGTCACTTTTTAAAATAATGAAGTATATAAAAATGCATCAACATCTGGAAGATCTATACAACACCACTATTGAAGATCCATTCCATGTAAGACAGACCAATGGATTTTACTATGAAGGGTTCATTGGTTCAGATTATTGTAACTAATGAACCTTTAAGAGGCTACTCTTTAGAGGTAGAAACAACTCAAATTTGGTGGAATATTAAAAAAAAAAAATCCACAATTATCTAGAAAGGTTGCCAAAATGCTCCTCTCTTTTTCAGCTGCATTTGTATATGAAACAAGATATTCTTCATACACTTCAAACAAACCAATAAATTGCAATAGACTGAATGAGGCATATAGTAAAAAATCAGCTTTCTTCTATTCAACTCTTGTGCTTAGTTGTGTCTGACTAGTTGGTTGCCATGCCAGGCATTAAAGAGACTTACAAGAATGTAAAACAATGCCACTATTCTCCTAACATTAAAAAATTGGGGAATAGAATTATTATCATAAAAATGTCATTTATATTCACATACAATGAGTTTATTTTAAATAAACATTTAAAAATTTATCAGTTTTAATGTTTACCCACCATTTTAAGACAGATGGAAGAAAGCCTGAAACAAAAGTAGTCAGATTTAGTGACTAAATTATAGTGGTAAAAGTAAAACAACTTAGGTATCTTAAACATAAGACTTTGTGCTTAGAAAACTGAGATAAAAAAATGATATAATCTTAATGGACTTGGCTGTTGATAGCAGATTTGCCTGTTCTAATCCAGAGAATTAATTATCATAATGTGAGCTGACAGAAAACTCATTCAACTAAAAATATCAGATTGTATAAGAGCTCAAATAGAATTCTAGCACACTACCAAAAGGCTGTCTTTTATACCCACACTTAAGGAAAGGACACATGTCTGCACAGTGTTGCCATGCCTGGGCTGAGACAGAACAACTGATGGAGTCAGTTTAGAGAGTCACCCAAGGCAGAGTGAGACAAGATTCAGCACAGATAGAAGCTGTGGAGTAATGTATCCAAACCTTCTGCAGGCACACAGAGCAGCAGTTAAAGCCTTGGGGGCAGACTGCTAAGGTTATTCTTTTCTTAGTTGTACAAATTCAAAAAAAGGTTTACTTAACCACTTGGTGCCTCGTTTTTCTTAAAACAGGGATATTATTAAATCATAGGTTTATCGTGAGGACTACAAAGGTAAGCACTTTGCTGTTGCTGTTCAGCTGCTCAGTTGCATCCGATTCTGCGATCCCCATGGACTACAGCATGCCAGGCTTCCCTGTCTTTCATCATCTCCTGGGGCCTGCTCAAAGTAATGTCCACTGAGTTGGTGATGTCATCCAACCATCTTGTGCTCTGGTGTCCCCTTCTCCTGCCTTCAATCTTTCCCAGCATCACGGTCTTTTCTAATGAGTTGGCTCTTTGCATCAGGTGGCCAAAGTATTGGAGTTTCAGCATCAGTCCTCCCACTGAATATTCAGGGTTGATTTCCTTTAGGATTGACTGGTTTGATCTCCTGGCAATCCAAAGGACTATCAAGAGTCTTCTTCAGCACCACAGTTCAGAAGCATCAGTTCTTCAGAGCTCAGCCTTTTTTACTGTCCAGCTCTCACATCCATACGTGACTACTGTAAAAACCATAGCTTTGACTATACAGATCTTTCTGGGAAAATAATGTCTCTGCTTTTTAATATGCTGTCTAGGTTGGTCATAGCTTTTCTTCCAAGGAGCAAACATCTTTTAATTTCATGGCTGCAGTCACCATCTGCAGTAATTTTGGAGCCCAAGAAATTAAGTCTGTCACTGTTTCCCCATCTATTTGCCATAAAGAGATGGGACCAGATGCCATGATCTTAGCTTTTTGAATGTTGTGTTTTAAGCCAGCTCTTTCGCTCATCAAGAGGCTCTTTAGTTCCTCTTTGCTTTCTGCCATATCTGAGGTTATTGATATTCCCCCTGGCAATCTTGATTCCAGCTTGTGCTTCATCCAGCCTGGCATTTCACATGATGTACTCTGCATAGATGTTAAATAAGCAGGGTGACAGTATAGAACCTTGATATTCTCCTTTCCCAATTTTGAACCAGTCTGTTGTTCCATGTCTGGTTCTAACTGTTGCTTCTTGACCTGCACACAGGTTTTGCAGGAGGCAGGTAAGGTGGTCTGGTATTCTCATCTCTTTAAAAATTTTCCAGAGTTTACTGTGATCCACATAGTCAAAGGCTTTAGCATAGTCAATTAAGCAGATGTTTTTCTGGAATTCCCTGGCTTTTTCTATGATCCAGCAGATGTTGGTAATTTGATTTCTGGTTCCTTTGCCTTTTCTAAATCCAGCTTGAACATCTGGAAGTTCTCGGTTCACATACTGTTGAAGCCTAGCTTGGAGAATTTTGAGATTACTTTGCTAGGATTACTTTGCAATTGTGCAGTAGTTTGAACATTCTTTGTCATTGACCTTCTTTGGGAATGGAATGAAAACTGACCAAGTATTGATAAATATTATTATTATTATGTTTTACCTGAAATATGGAATAATAAAATACTAGTCTAGGACTTTCCCAGTGGCATAGTAGATAAGAACCACCTCCCAATGCAGGGGACATGGGTTTGATCACTGATCCGGGAAGATCCCACATGCTCTGAAGCTGCTAAGCCTGTGTGCCCCAACTACTGAACCAGCACTCTAGAGCCCTCAAGCCACAACTACTGAACCTGAGTGCTGTAACTACTGAAGCCCACACATCTACAGCCTATGCGCTACAACAAGAGAAGCCACCACAATGAAAAGTCCAAACACTGCATGAAGAGTAGCCCATGCTCACTACAATTAGAGAAAGCCCATGCAAAGCAATGAAGACCCAGCACAGCCAAAAATAAATAATAAATTTTTAAAAAATACTAGTCTAATATGTAGGGTGGGTTAGGGTATGAGAAATATAATAAAATACTCTAAAAGTTAACTATGATTTCTAAAAGTTCTAGGATTAAAGTTCCATGGAGTAATCACAATTAAGGTTATTAAAGTATTACCTCAAAATTATCATTTAAAAATGAGTAAATAGTACATTGATATAGACTGGATTCAGAAAGCATCTACGGAATGTTTTTAAAACCAATGCATTTCTTTCATGGTCGTGAGAAAAAAAAGTATCCTCAGCTAACAATTATGAGCCAAGTGACACGTTTTCCTTTCTTTTGCAAAAAGGATAATTTATTATAAGAAAACATTTAAAATGTTAATAAAGGAAAGATACAAAGTACTATTGATTGCTGTATTATAATAACTGTGATAACCAGCATCCAAACCTCCACTCAAGGTGAAAGAGAAAAATGTAAGCTCAATGCAAAATGACTCGAGAGTCCAAAGACTATCAGCCTGTATGAGAGGAGAATCCAGAGGGTGTGTGGTGGTAACAGGCAAGAGCAGGGGGTGGGGGTGCGGAGGTATAAACAGCCTGCTGTGATGGCAAAATACATCCCGTAAGGGCAGGATGAAGGACTCTAGAACTTCGACCTGATGGTGGGCAAGGCAGAATCATTCAAATAGCCTCCTGGGATGACTCCCATTCCTGGCCCATGTGCCTAAGACAAACAGAGACTACAGCAGGGAGTTTGCCATACCCCACGAAATGAACTGGCAGTTTGAGGTAGAAAGCATTTTGAAAAGAGGATACTGTGGTATGCAATCTGCTGTCGGTTATGTCAACACACGGCAAAGGACTTCCACATTCTTACTCCTGCAAGTGCCTGCACACTTCTGTAGGACTTCTACAGTCAATCTCTGGGAGCCCAGCACTTTCTGCCTCAGGTCATAAACCTGCATTAAACACTACCCCACCCTCCCTACCCCGGAGCAATGAGAGCAGGTAGCAGTAGCAAGGAGGGTTTCTAAGATCCTAGGAATGCTTGAATGCTTCGTCACTAACCAGCTTTGTACCTCCATCAGCCCGCCTGATGGAATAAGAACTTAGCTGAAGGTGGAAATGAAGTTGTATACACAATCTGTGTTTCTGATATACTACAAATTGATTCAGGTGCTGTTTAAAAGGCAAAGGAGAGACTGTGCAGGAAGTTTGGCAACTAGGAAAACAGTAAGAAGGCTGTTCACATTGGTGGGCCAAACATTACACTTCCTTTGAGTGAATCTTTGGGCGTGAGTGGATAGAATATGCAAGACTCACAGTGACTTTTCAGAGAAAAAGACAGTGAGGAAAAGGGTACCTTGAAGATTCTAATCTGTGATCTTTGTGATCTTTTCTCAAGAACAAATTATAGCATGACTAAAAGAAATGTACGGACTTACCTGGAAAATATCTGTCTTGTCTTCAAATAAACTGACAAAATATTTATAGTCAGCATAAGCCCAGAATTTGGAATGATCATAGTCTCTAAATGCTCCAGAAATACTAGACTGGTGACAGTTCCAGGAAAGAAACTCTTCAAGTGTAGCTTCTACATAATTACATGTGGTTTCAAACTGAGGAGCTGCAACAGAAGAGAACCCAACTTTAAATGCATACACAACACAGTTTCCAAATATTGTTGCTTCTTCAAATGAAGATCATTTCAACCAAGAAATTACTATTAAAAATTAATTAGAAATTAATTATGTACTTGCTAAATAATTCAGTTCAGTTCAGTTGCTCAGTTGTGTCTGACTCTTTGCGACCCCATGAACCGCAGCACGCCAGGCCTCCCTGTCCATCACAAACTCCCGGAGTTTACTCAAACTCATGCCCATCCAGCCATCTCATCCTCTGTCGTCCCCTTCTCCTCCTGCCCCCAATCCCTCCCAGCATCAGGGTCTTTTCAAATGAGTC